AAATAGGCAATAGTTAAAAAAGTGGCTTTTTAGACCATCGTGCTGGAACCTAATTTAAAATTCAAAATAAATTATTAATGTTGATTTTCGGTGATGATTCAAAGGGCCAACCGGGCTTAAGGTCGCACATTTGGGTTTTTACCTTCATTTCCAAGATTTTTTTATCCAGCAAATCGATGGCATTTTCAATGTCCTGGGACATGGTTACATTGGCCCCAAAATCGCCCATCTCAAACGGATCGATCTTCGAGCTAGTTATGCTGGAAAAGGGCTTGATTTCGCAAAACACTCCACAGTTTCATTGAACTCACCTGTTAGGTGTAGCGGCTGAAGGCGAACCCGAGAGTGGATTGTTTAAGACAGGATTGGCTTCCAATTGGGTGTGCAGCAGAAGATTGGTTCGCTTAGCTGGCTTGGGAGGAGGAGCAACTGAAAAAGCAGGTTTTTATTGGAAAAATCCGCACACTAAAGTAGTTAGAGTGCTGCTTACGCAACGGCAGGCTAATTGGTGGATTGCCAGTGTTATTTTCAAAGGATCTGGGATCGAAGTCGTTGTCCGTCTCGAATTCATTCAGCAATAAGCCCTCTAGTTTCGTTCCTATTGCTGGGCTGTTATCAGTGAGTCGAGGAGGCACAGGAGGAGCTACCAAAGAAATCCAGTAAAAAATAGTAACTTAACACAAAATAAACTGATTTTTGGCCATACCCGAACCATTCAAGTCAATAATATTAGCCGTTTCAATCATGGGACTTGGACCACCATTCTGATTGGAAGGCGTGTTAATTCTGCTGCCGATTGGCTCCAAATCCACTAAGGATTGCAGATTATTCCGCCTCAAATAGGCCTCGATCTCCGCCCGAATGCTGGCAATCTCGGCAATATCCAAAAGCCGCCGCTTGTAAATCGTCGCTTCCAGTTCGGTTTGTTTCACCTTTTGCTGGATTATTACGGCCTTCTGTTGGGTCTCCAAGTCCTTGCCCGACGTGTCCAAAAATCGCTTATAAGCCAGTTCGAAGGCCTGCCCGATGGTCAACGTGATGTCTTCGGCCAATTTATCGGAAATAAACACGAAGCACAAGTGCGCATCATCAGATTTGCCTTCTGAAATACATTTGGAGTGAGTCGATCGAAACGTTACTGGACTGGAAGCTGTACCTGAGCTCTGTTGTTTGGCAATAAAGGAGAAGAACTTTTTCTCTCCTTTGTCGTCTGCACAGTAGGAGATTTGGTGCAGAGGAAACTGATGGAGAATGCTGTGGGTGCGAGGCTCTTGAATCGCCACTCCATCTACGCTAATTGTTAGCTCCACCTTTTTGGTTTTGGCTCCAGTTTCGCTTTTGCGTAACTGCTGGGAAAATCTTAATTTACGTATTGCTTCTTTGACTACTTCTATTCCTGCAATAGTCACAGAGTTAAACGCTGCGGATGTGTAGGAAATGGGGCCCACAAGGTAACAAAGCGAAACGTGAAAATGAAATTCAGAAACTTTCTGTACTGCAGGAGAAAATCGTGTTAAACAATTATTTATCTGGTTTGTGGAACGTCTTACACTGGAAGGTCGCGATGTCATCATAATAAGCGATAATAAATTTGTTTCCTCTAAGCCTTGTGATGCAGGCACAAATCGATGTTTATGGACAATTGAATGCGATGAAGTATTTCACAATTAAAAAAATGTGTGTGTAAGAAGATAAAAAGGTAAAACTGGTAAATTTATTCGGATTGTTGCTTCTACCTCTTCTGATATGGTCAACAGTTTCTAAGATATTGGGTGTTTTAAACTTTACAGCTCCTCTTGCTCTCCTCTGTTTAGAGGTTGGAAACTTTTTAGAAACTTACTGGTCACATATGGATATCGAATTCTCAGGTTTATAGTGCTCCAGGCGCATAAAAATGGTGCAAATTGCGCTAAACATTGGCTCATGAACTTGAATTCACTATTCGCTTTGTTTTCTTCAAATTTTGGCAACAATTACCTTTGGCTTCTTCGACTTCTGTATTTCCTAAAAATTTGACCAGATAAGCGATATGGCCTTTCTGCAAAGCTTCAGGCGGATGAATCCACTTCCGTTTGCCATTCTTGTTGCTGGTGAGTTTTTCCTGAGTGTTTTGAGCCCATTTTCTTAACGATGACATTCTGAGGAAAAAACGGGAAAGAAAAAAATTATAAAATATTGATAATAAAAAAAAACAAAATGCACAAGTTTAGGAACTCTTAACTTTTAATCTACAGCCCAGATGAACTTCAAATTTCCTTAGTTTGTAGAAAAAGTCTTAGTCTATAAATCCTCAGTTTCATAATAAGATTGGAAACGCCTGATTTTTGTGGCCTTGCTGAATGCGAGAATAAAACTAAGCTTTTTCACTCAATTTTACCCGAAACTTTAAGAATTCTTAATTTGTCTTTCGGATCACATTGCGACTTGAAAACTTCTCCATCTAGAGCAAAAATCGGGGTTTGAACATCTGGAGAATTTAATTGAAAGCGCACAAACCCCTGATTTTTTCCGATTTGCTGAATTTTGAGACAAAAATAAGCGTTTTCACACTACT